ATGAGAGAGAAACATTGATAGGCTGCCTCCTGCATGCCCCACACTGGGGATCAAGCTCCGCAAGTTGGGCATGTGCCCTGATCAGGAATCCAACCATGACCTCCTGGTTCATAGGTTGCCGCTCAACCACAGAGCCATGCCTGCCAGGCCATGTATGTCATTTTTAAAAAGAATTTCAAAATACTCTGCCAGTTTGACTATTTTGAAAAACAAATGATTATACTTACTGTTGGTGACAGAAATGAAAAAAAAAAGCAGGAATATTTAATTTTATATTCTTCTTCAGCAACAATTAGTAAAGCTAATCACATTACTCATAACTAATATATTAGTGGTAAAGGGGGAAGATCATGTCATTCTTTTCACCAGTTAGAAATAAGTAATTTTGATTTTAATAGCACAGGCATTGTGCCATAGAAAAAAGTATTCTACCACTGTTCTTACTTTTTCTTATTTTTTCTTATGACTCACTGCCAATCAATCAGCTGCTATGACACTTGAGGCCATGATGGTCCCAACAGTCTCTCTAGGATTCTTTACCCAGGTTAGGCTGTTGCAATCTTAGATTTCTCTGAAAATCATTTCTTGAGAAGTCACTGAGTACCTAGTAGTGAACTGTTACCCTGATGTTGTGTGTATTAAACCATCTCAGAGATACCCCCAGTTTAGCTAACCTGACTGTTTTTAGGTCCAGGGCAAAGCCTTATAATGGAACCAGCTTGTAATTTTGGAGTGATTATAGAAGACTCTTACAGTAATCTTATGCCCAGCATAGAAGCTTTTGTTTCTGCAATCTCCTATCAAGGGGGGGGGGAGGATATACATTTAATTTTTTGCTAATATTTCTGTTTAGAAGACCAATTCTGCTGCAGTGCCTGCCTACCAAAATTTATTCAGCCATAATTCATTTAATTCTTAAAAATATTAAGAAAGGTGGATGCCATTGATGTCCCCCATTTACTGATAAGAAACTTAAAATCAGAGAAGTTAAGTGATTTGCCTAAGATCATGCAGCCAACAAGTGGCAGATTGGGGATTTTTAACCAGGTTCTTTCTTTTTTTTCTATAATACATCATCTATATATTGTATTTGGTGTTCACTACTCCAAATCAAATATCTTTCCATCACCATTTGCCCCCCTTTAAGCTCTTTACCTCCTCCCAGCCCCCTTTCCCTCTGGTAATCACCATACTGTTGTCTGTGAGGTTTTTTTGTTTGTTTGTTTAATTCTTTCACCTTTTTACCCAACTCCTCCATCCCCTTCCTTTATGCCAGCTGTCAGTCTGTTCTTTATATCTTTGAGTCTGTTTCTATTTTGTTTGCTAGTGTATTTTGTTCATTAGATTCCATATATGAGTGAAATCATATGCTACTTGTCTTTCTCTGCCTTATTTACCTTAACATAATACTCTGCAAGTCCATTCATGTTGTCACAAAGAATAAGATTTTCTTCTTTTTTATAGTTGAATAGTATTCCATTGTGTAAATGTATCACAGCTATTTTATCCACTCATCTACTGATGAACACTTTGGCTGCTTCCAAATCTTGGCTATTGTAAGTAACATTGCAATGAAGATAGGGATGCATATATTCCTTTGAATTAGCGTTTCAGGTTTCTGTAGATATATTTCCAGAAGTGGGATCACTGGGTCATAAGGCAGTTCCATTTTCAATTTTTTGAAATAACTCCATACTGTTTTACACAGTGGCTGTACCAATCTGCATTCACATTAACAGTGCATGAGAGGTTCCTTTTTTCCACATCCTCACTGACATTATTGTTTGTTGATTTATTGACAACTAGAGGACTGGTGCATGAAATTCATGCACTTGGGGTGGGATGCCGGATGTTGGCCAGCCTGAGAGGGACTGCAGGAGGGCTCCAAGGCCTGTCCAGCCCATCTCCCTCAGTCCTGAGCAGCCAGACCCCAACAGCAAGCTAACCTACTAGTTGGAGCATCTGCCTCCTGGTGGTCAGTGCATGTTATAGCAAGAAGTTGAGCAGCCTTAGGATATCATTAGCATATTATGCTTTGATTGGTTGAATGGCCGACCAGACGACTAGACACTTAGCATATTAGGCCTTTATTATATAGGATAGCCATTCTTATAAGTGTGAGGTGACAACTCACTGTGGTTTTAATTTGCATTTTTCTGATGATTAGTAACATTGAGCATCTTTTCATATGTCTTTGGCCATCTGTATGTCCTCTTTGGAAAAGTGTCTATTCAGGTCCTTTGCCCATTTCTTAATTGGGTTGTTTATCTTATTGGTGTAGAGTTGTATGCATTCTTTATACATTTTGGATATTAGCCCCTTATCACATGTATCATTGGCAAATATGTTCTCCCATTCAGAGGGTTGTCTTTTCATTTTGTGGATGGTTTCTTTTGCTGTGCAAAACGTTTTAGTTTGATGTAGTCTTATTTGTTTATTTTTTTCTTTTGTTTCCTTTGCCTGAGGAGATATATCAGAAAAAATATTACTATGAGAAATGTCTGAGATTTTACCACCTATGTTTTCTTCTATGATTTTATAGTATCAAGTGTAACATTTTGGGTTTATTCTTGTATATGGTGTAAGAAGTTTCTTTTTTATACTTGTATCTGTTTAATTTTCCCCACACCATTTATTGAATAGACTACTTTTATCCCATTATATATCCTTGCCTCCTTTGTGAAATATTAATTGACCATAAATGTATGGGTTTCTTTTTGAGCACTTTATTTTGTTCCATTGATCTATATGTTGTTTTTATGCCAGTTCCATGCTATTTTTATTACTATGACCTTGTAATATAGTTTGGTATCAGGAAACCTGATTCCTCCAACTTTGTTCTTCTTTCTCAAGATTGCTTTGGCTATTTGGGGTCTTTTATGGTTCCACATACATGTTTTAAATATTTGTTCTACTTCTGTGAAATATGTCATTTGTGTCTTGATAGTAACTACGTTGAATTTATAGATTATTTTGGATAGTATGTACATTTTAATGATGTTAATTCGTTCTATCCATGAACACGGTGTATGCTTCCACTTATTTGTATCTTCTTCAGTTTCTTTTCTCAGTGTCTTGTGATTTTATGAGTACAGGTCTTTTACATCCTTGGTTCAATTTATTCTTAGGCATTTTATTTTTTGATGCAATTATAAATGGGATTGTCTCTCAGTTTTTCTTTCTGATAGTTCATAATTAATGTATAAAATAAAACTGATTTCTGTAAATTTATTTTGTATCCTGCTACTTTATTGAAATCATTTATCAGTTCTAGTAGTTTTTTGGTTGACTCTTTAGGGTTCTCCATAAACAGTATCATGCCATCTGTAAATAATGAGTTTTACTTCTTCCCTTCCAAGTCGAATGCCTTTTATTTCTTCTTCTTTGATTGCTGTGACTAGGACTTCCAGTATTATGTTGAATATGTCTTGTTCCCTATATTAAGGGAAACTCTTGTGATTTTGACCTACTGATTATGATGTTGGTTGGGGGTTTGCCATGTATGGCCTTTATTACATTGGTGAACTAGATTCTTTCTGATATTTCTTTCCTCAGTGTCTGGTAGTCTCTTATGATACCACTACCTTTGGAATTCCAATCACACTTGGCTTATTCCCTAATTGGGTACTTTTTATTTTCACCTTGTGTTATAATCCATCAATATAAAAGGCTAATACGCTAAGTGTCCTTCTCACCCTCCTACCAGTTGCTATGATGTGCACTGACCCCCAGGGGGAAGATGTTCAATGCAGCAGCTGCCGTGATGTACACAGAGAAATGGCACCACAGACCTGGCTGACAAAGCAACACTCGGCTTCCCCCAAATGGGACATAGACCCTGCCACCACCCTGGAACAACACTCCACCAAATCGCAGCTGGCACTGCCGAGACCCCATGGCACAAAATTCAGCCCATAGCCCATAGCCCAGCCCAGCCTAGAAATAGTTGCTGTGAGTGTCGGGTAATGACATCATGTAGCAATGTCTGGCTTCCTCTCCTTAGCGACTTGCCTCCTTGGAGTTCCAGGAACACAAGTGGAAACATTTTACACTTTAACCAAATGTCTGTGAAGCATTTTCCTGTGCCTCATCTCATTTTATCCTCACAGAAGTAATGGAGTAGGTAGATAGGAGACTCAGTGGAATCCTATTTTCTTTTCATTAGCCAGAAAACAGAGATTTAGAAAGCTTAGAAACTTGACCTGACTGAAAAGAAGTAAGAAATGGCGGACCTTGAAAATAACTTCAGGTTTTCTCACTGTGCAGTATATAGTCAAACACTGCTGCAGTTAAATATTTCACCCTTTGTTCTCCCTGAATGATCTATAATAATAATCCACTTTGTGTTGATATTTACTGCTGTGTTGCTAACAATTACCTGAAAGAGAAGTTGGGGTGCTTCACTGGGCTGGAAAAAATTTAGGTAAATCAGAAAGCAGGTCTACTTAAGCAAGTTTATTCTATATCTATAAAAGGCTAAGTTGACTCATGCATGTGTGATACATATAAAGCTCTCATTGGCGCCAATCGCATGTGTGTATTTCCATCTGTCATTGTTGATCATGAATTCGGTTGACACATATAGAGAAAGGGCGAATAGTGATATTAAAAGATTTCTTCTAATTAATTTCCTTTCAATGTGCATGAATTTGTGCACTGGGCCACTAGTGATATATATTTGTGTATTCTCCTGCAGTGTGTTTTTGTCTCTTTGAGGGTAAACAGCAGATCTTATTTCTCTATTCTCCATAGTATTGACCTTGGGACCTGGCCCTCTTATAACGGGAAGAATTTGAATAATATTTAAAATTTTAGCAGTCAACGGAAGGAGCCGCAGGCATCACGTTGCCACCCTGACCGAAGCGCAGGGGCACGGGTGGACGGACGCACGCACGGACTGACGGAGGGAGCAGAGCCGAATCCCAGCGGCCACTAGCTCTGAGCAGGTTCCCGCAAGGCTTGCACCCAAAGGCCGGCGGCGACTGTGCCCCACAGAATCTCCTGCGCTCCTCCCGCCCCAGTTCCTGTGCCTGCGCCCCGGGGCCGCTGCCTCCAAAGTGATTGTTGCCTCGTAGCCTCCGCTGGGTCCGGGAACATGAAGCTGCTGCCATCGGTGGTGCTGAAGCTCTTTCTAGCTGCAGTGCTCTCGGCGTTGGTGACTGGAGAGAGCCTGGAGTGGCTTCAGAGAGGGCTGGCGGGTGGGACCAGCAACCTGGGATCTCCCACTGACTCTATGGACCAGCTGCTGCCCCCCGGAGGCGTCAGAGGCCGGGAAGTCCTGGACTTAGAAGGGGCCGACCTGGATCTTTTCAGAGCTCCTTTCTCCTCCAAGCCACAAGCTCTGGCCACACCCAGCAAGGAAGAGCGTGGGAAAAGAAAGAAGAAAGGCAAAAAGGGGTTGGGAAAGAAGAGAGACCCGTGTCTTAGGAAATACAAGGACTTCTGCATCCATGGAGAATGCAAATATGTGAAGGAGCTCCAGGCTCCATCCTGCATTTGCCACCTGGGTTACCACGGAGAGAGGTGCCATGGGCTGAGTCTCCCGGTGGAAAATCGCTTGTCTACTTATGACCACACAACCATCCTGGCTGTGGTGGCTGTGGTGCTGTCGTCTGTCTGTCTGCTCGTCATTGTGGGGCTTCTCATGTTTAGGTACCATAGGAGAGGAGGTTATGATGTGGAAAATGAAGAGAAAGTGAAGTTGGGCATGACTACTTCCCACTGAGAGAGACCTGTGCTCAAGGAATCAGCTGGGGACTGCTACCTCTGATCACAGACTCTGCAGAGGGGAAGGACTTCACAACCAGCCATGAAGACTCCCTCATCCCCAGTTGCCGTCCAGATTGGGCCTCCCAGTATTGCTTTATCAGAGCCTTCAAGTTCCAAACAGAATATGCCCAATGGGATCTGGGTCAGAAAGAAGCAAAAGTGAGGGACCTTCATGCTCTTCTGATTCCCCTTCACCAAACCCTTCTTAACCCTATAAAGTTTGTTTAAACACTTGTCTTCTGGATTAAGATGCCAGTTAATTCCATATGCTCCAGGATCTTTGACTGAAAGAAAAAAAAAGGAGAGGAAGAAGGAAAGATTTGTGGACTGGAAGAAAGTAACAAAGATTGAAAAGCCACGGACTCAAGTAGTCACCAAGGGATCTGCCATTTGGACCCTACAGCGCTGGATTTGATGAGCTAACTGTGAAATACCACAAGCCTGAGAACTCTGAATTTTGGGACTTCTACCCAAATGGAAAAATAACTATTTTTTGTTTGTTTGTTTGTAAAATGCCTCTTAAATTATATATTTATTTTATTCTATGTATGTTAATTTATTTAGTTTTTAACAAACAATCTAACAATAATATTTCAAGTGCCTAGACTGTTAACGTTGGCAATTTCCTGGCCTTCTACCCCGCATCCCCCTACCACTTGGCTCAGCATCACTATCTTCTGCCACAAATCTGAGGTGGCTCTATGACCCATCTGTCATCCATTGTCTGTCCACATTTCCACAGATCTTCCACGATCAGAGTGCCACAGGGGGCGGTCTGTATGGTCAGGATGTAGGAGTTAACTTTGTCAGATCCACTCTATGAGTTGGACTGCAGTCTTGCCTAGGCGATTTTGTCTACCGTTTGTGTTTTGAAAGCCCAAGGTGCTGATGTCAAAGTGTAACAGATATCGGTGTTTCCCCGTGTTCTCTCCCTGCCAAATCCAGAAGAGGTTGGGCTTCCATGTTTGCAGCTTTCCTAACCCCCTACCCTCTATAACCTCAGGCCCACAGAGTGGGATCTCACTCTCCCTTGTGTCAAGACATTTCTCTTACTCCTGCCATTCTTCTGGTGCTACTCCAAGAAGGGGTCAGTGCAGCAGGTGATAATCGAAAGAGGTATTAGTGGGAAAAAAGGCTGAGGAGGAACAGGACACATTGGAGCTGACTATTCTTGGTAATTGATAACCTATCAATTGCTACAGAGAAGATTGGAGGTGAGGATGGCTTTTGTGTGAACCCACCCACTTCACCAAAACTACAAACGTATGCTTTCATGGTCCCTTCTGGAAGTTTCTGGTGCCATTTCTGAACTGTTACAACTATATTTCCAAAACTGGTTCATATTTGTACTTTGCAATTCAAATAAAGATAACCCTTATTCCATAAAAATAAAATAAAATAAAATAAAATAAAATAAAATAAAATAAAATAAAATTTTATTCATTTTGAAAGTACACTTCTCTTAACTTTCTCCTCCATTAAATAAATTAATATTCAGAACCATACTTTTGATGAATGTCTAGTTTTTTTTAAAAACATATTTTAAGTGTCAGTGCTCCCATCAGAATGAAGGAAAGTAAGTGACATAAATGTGACAGTAAAGGATGATCAGACTTTATATGGCTATTCAACAAATGTTATGGTTCAGAGGGCTCCTTAATAATCTTTTCACATTGACTATACAGAGATTTTATATAAAATTTACCCTTGCACCACCCTGTGAATTGGATAGAATATTTCCATTGAACAGATGTGGAAATTGAGGTTTTAATAGGTTAAGTAACCTAGGCAAGACTACATAGCTAGTAAGTAGTGAAGCTGGAACTAGTATCTAGATCTTGATGTCATGCCCATGGTGCCTTTAAAAAAAATAATTTCAACCCAGTGACCCAAGCTGAAACTATGGAATTAATTCTCAGGAGTCACTCTCTCTCTTTTCACCTACCACCAGTCTGGTCCAGATGATGATAGATTTATACAGCAGCCCCCAATTATCGGTCTTTCTGTTTCTGGTATTCCTCTCTAACATGTTCTTTGTAAGAGCTAAAATTAGACTAATCACTCACTTGTTCAAAACCCTTAACTGGCTCCATAACTCCTTAGCTTGGTACCCAGGCCTCTGCCAACCTCATTAGATTTCATTCTTCCCTCCTCTATAATTTGCTACTGTATACCCCCAAGATGAAACTAAATTTAGTAGTGCTCTTATTTCTGGACCATTTCATCAGACATTCTATTGCCTTCCTTCTTCAGTCACCTTTTCATCTGGTTTGCATCTATTCATTCTTTAGGCCACTAAGCAGATACCACATCTTCCTAGTAGCTTTCCCTGATGCTCCAAGTTCACCAAATGGGCTCTTTATTGATGGGGCACTATAGCCTCTCATGCTTATTCTTATAGCATTTATTCCATTGCAATGTAATAATATATTTTATATTAGGTTGTAACTATATTCAGGTAAGCAGGACCAGGTGACGTATTTTTTTTTTTCTTTAAGGCTTCTTGGGGAACTGGAAGATGAATGGCCAGTACACTTCTATGAGAGTTGATGGAAGTACATTTTTACTTGAGCTGTCTAAGGGTAAGCAATGCTATAGGTCTGACCTCTACTCTAAGCCAGGTCATGATTGACTTATATCTGTAGTCATGATTGACTTACATCTGTAGTATTTAAAGAATTAACTCCTGAATATTTTTGAGTAACAGTGGATAGGTAACAACTAAAGAAGAATTAATGCAATTCCTCCTTTAAAATATTCAATCTACATTGGAATAAAACAAACTAATAGAAAAATCGGACTGGTTTTATTTAACAAAAATATCATCTTGTTCCATAACTATAACCTTTCTAAAATACCAAATTAAACATATTAAGAATTTATTATTTGAGTACTGTTTTCAGAATTCAGAATTATTAATAAAGTTAACATTTATGACCATTGTGATAGTGCAAATATTTAATTATTTGATACAAGATATTAAATTATCACCATGCTGTATAGTTTACAATGGACATTGTAGGTTGCTCATGGGTAGGAACCACTGTTTCATGCTCAATACTTAGCATGGTGTGTGACATGCAGTATTCTTCTTATAAATCTTTAAATAAATTAATGTTTTCACATATATTAAGTTGTTTGATTCTCAAAACAGCCCTGGTTTTCAGTGCTGACATTTTCTAGATCCCAAACAAACAAAACCAGCAAAGAAACAAAAAAAACACAACACATAGAGATATAACTAAATGGAGAAAATTCCATTTATCAGAACACCTTTCAGGGGGCATACTTCTTAGTGGGCTCCCTGCAAGCATGCTTAATAAATAAGAGCTAGTTATAAAATTTTCTTCAGAGGTTGGGCCTTGTTAAAGTCAAGACTTTTGTTTGTTTGTATATTTATTTGATCACAAAGCTAAAACCATTGTGGAGATAGTGAAGAGACACAGAGACTGACTATTATATAAAAAAGGGTACAGAGAGTGTTCCCCAGCTAGGCAGGATGAGTGGAGAGACTGTGAAGAAAGAGAGTCAAACAGCAAAGCCCTCTTCTATCTCTCCTATAAATTCTTTAGTAAAATCTACAACTCCCTGCAATATTTTTACTATGTGGTCATTCTTTCTGAGGAATATGATAGTGTTGATGGTCTCAGACATTCAGCCAGAGCTGAACATTTCACCACCTAGAAGTTAAGTATCATACACTATCATTTGGATTGTTGATGAAGTTGAAAATGTGTTGATGTATTATGCAAATATTCACTGAGTAGCTTATGAATGGCAGGTACTGGGAATATAACAGTGAACCAGATTTCCAAGGACTCTTTTCTTATGGAATATATATTCTGGTGAAACAACCAAAAATGTAGTGTATATATAATAAAGGTTGTGATAGTGCTTTTAAAAAATAAAACAATCTTATGTAACAGATAATAAAATATCATTGAAGATATTTTCTTTTTTTAATTTCTTTATTGATTAAGGTATTATATATGTGTACTTATCCTCTCATTGCCCCCTCACCACCCCCCTCAGCACTCATGCCCTCACCCCCCTGGTGTCTGTGTCCATTGGTTAGGCTTATATACATGCATACAAGTCCTTTGGTTGATCTCTCCCCCTTACCCTCACCCTCCCCTACCTTCCATGTGAGGTTTAATGGTCTGATTGATGCTTCTCTGTCTCTGGATCTGTTTTTGTTCATCAGTTTATGTTGTTCTCTATATTCCACAAATGAGTGAGATCATGTGATATTTCTCTTTCTCTGACTGGCTTATTTCACTTAGCATAATGCTCTCCAGTTCCAACCATGCTGTTGCAAATGGTAAAAGTCCTTTCTTTATATAGTGGCATACTATTACATTGTGTATATGAACCACTGTTTTCTAATACACTCATCTGCTGATGGGCACTTAGGCTGTTTCCAAATCTTAGCTATGGTGAATTGTGCTGCTATGAACATAGGGGTGCATATATCCTTTCTGATTGTTGTTTCTGGTTTCTTGGGATATATTCCTAAAAGTGGGATTACTGGGTCAAACGGGAGTTCCATTTTTAGTTTTTTGAGGAAACTCCATACTGTTCTCCACAGTGGCTGCACCAGTCTGCATTCCCACTAGCAGTGCACGAGACTTCCTTTTTCTCTGCATCCTCACCAGCACTTGTCTTTGGTGATTTGTTGATGATAGCCATTCTGACAAGTGTGAGATAGTATCTCATTGTAGTTTTGATTTGCATCTCTCCAACAATTACTGGCTTTGAGCATGTTTTTATATGTCTCTTGGCCTTCTTTCTGTCTTCTTTCGAAAAGTATCTATTTAGGTCCATTGCCATTTTTTGATTGGGTTGTTTATCTTTCTTTTGTTAAGTTGTATGAATTCCCTGTAAATGTTGGAGATTAAACCCTTATTGGTGATAACGTTGGCAAATAGATTCTCCCATGCAGTGGGCTTTCTTGTTATTTTATTGATGGTTTCTTTTGCTGTGCAAAAGCTTTTT